ATTAACCACATAGAATATTGATGATAAACAACACGAAATTACGATCAATGGTATTTCTGCAAACAACAACTGAGGTCAACAGACAGACTACACTCTAAGATAATGAACACTATTATTGTCATTATTATTAATTTTAGACAAAAAATTATATTTTTTATGCCAAAACGCATCTTAGATTAGAGGAACTCATATAGATGTGACGATGGTGTACGATATCCGGACACACTTTCTCGAATAAATCGTCAATTAAGAACCCTCCATATGAACAGTTTTCAGACGACGATGGAGGTACATGTTGTATTCAGGTCAAACAAATACAGTCTACTGAAGACAATGTTTTGCTTTTGGACAATATTATCTTCTAAATCATTTCAACTATATTTTCTTATTCTCAAATAGAGTATGGAGTGAAATACAGTTTAGATGTAAAAGACGAGTGATCAAAAAGGAAAAGACGAAATACAAATAAGAGAAAACGGCGAACAATCAATGGTAACTATAATGAAACTGAAGTCATGCATCACTGTCTATTGATTAACCAATACTAAGCACTATCAATGTGCATAAGTTTGGAGAAATTTCTTCAGAAGTTTTCGTCAAATTAAATTCACATTAATTCCATACGACGTCTTCATTAGTAATTATATTACAATCAATGTCACTGTTACCGGTACCGTAACAACAAAATTAAGAATTATTATTATTACTACCAATATTACTGTTGTGCTTAGTGCGAAGTCCAGTAAGTAGATTGTATTCACTTGACATCTAATTCATGTGCACCATTCGGTTGATTATTACAATGTTTACAGCTTGACACCTCACACCAACTCACTTCATTATCTTATCGATATGATTACCTGATTACAAATCGGAAATGGTGTCCACTAAAATACTCTTTATTTGTTTCGAATTTCATACAACGAGTTCTGGTCAGTTCAGTTCGCTCTGAGGTCAGTTCACATAGAACAGTTTGAATTTTATAAATTGAAGCCTGTCCAACTGTGAATCTCGACGACATAGCTCAATACATATGATGATTGAAATACTCAGAGTAGATGAAATCTATATTTTGATACGCAGATTTCAAGTCCAGTAGCTCATTTAAACTTGATTTCAGTTCAATGATTATATTTGTAAGTTTTAATTAGCAAAGCCGAGCCTTTTCACACGATTCATTCAAACTGAATTCCTTCTTTCCACCTTCTCCATCGTTCTGTTTTTTCTTCTCATGGAAAGATCAATATCTATTCTCCCAGTTGTCGTGTATTCAGATTTGAGAATTGTATGATTACGACCTAATGCCTTCAAACTGCTCTCCCTCTAGAATGAACGTGTAGTTGGTTCTATACCAAAATTAGTGGCATTCACGCGCGCTATAGTTTAACAAGTTTAATGTGAATTCTCCGGGTATGGATACGCTGCAAGTTAAATCAAACGGAAGGCGGCAGTCAAGCTTCTGGAATCACCAACATAAATAACACTGACAAGCTTTGAGATGGCATCACAGTCATTACTCAAAAGTCTGGTGATACCTGTATTTTAAGGTGCTTCAAATTGTTGACCAAGAAGTATAAGTTGATTTCGCAATTTCGAGTAACTTTTAACTGGCGAATAATGCCTAACACCTATGAGATTATCTGATTTGAATAAACCTTGGATTCGTTATGTAGCTTAGGTGTGTTTATTCATTTTATATTAGAGTTTATGTAGGTGTCATTAGTAATTATGATATTTAACTGTTTTAAATAATTCGTCAGACGTGATGGTTTTATTTGTCTTCAGTTGAGCAAATGATTTCCAGTATACAAACAAGTGATTCGGTAAAATATGCCGTCAGCAATCACGAGACTGTTGCTCTATAACTCGGTGTTGCAATCTGAGTTTAAAATGTTAGTTTATTATTAGACGTATTCGATTGAGCTGCTAAGAACACTATTTCACACTACTATTTGTGAATTAGTCTTGAACGTACGTCAGATATTAACCTCCAGTTTTATCTTCTCTGCCATGGATAGTACGCCTGAATATTATATTTTGAGTTTTGAACTAAAGAAGGGCATAATCAGTTGGCGAATATTACAGAAAGTGTATTGTGTAATAAGACCATGATTATTCGTGCCGAAATTCAGTTTACAAGTGAGTCTACATTGAAACGTGATGAGTTTGAAAACGAAGTAACTAGCTAATAACGTATGTATGGATGTTATGTCATTTAAATGCGACTGGCGAATAGTTTGGATTAGATAAGAGATCGTTTCAAACTTCGGTCTAAACGAGGTATAGCAGTAGAAGAACCATGGATTTCCCTAAATCGAAAAACTCGAACATGAGGGATTACGACATTCATATCGACTTGACGTGCAGCTGGGATACATATTCGCTCGTTGTAATTCAGCTGTAAATTTTGTATAACCTGAGAGTCGTTGTTGTTGATAACTGATTAGATGAGGAGAAGTGTTTTAATAATATGCAGATTACTTATAAATTGTTGTAGGTTCAACCGTGGAATAGATTGAATTCTCCTATAGCAAATTGTTATAACGCTAAGGCATTTGTATGAACCGAATACCTCCTGATAATAAGATTAGTTAGGCTCAATATTAATGAAGCTACTTTTCATTTAATGTTGACACTGGCTTCAACAGAAAAGTATTTGTGGCTTACATTTAGCTCATTCGAATTCAACTTGTCTTCACTGAATGTGATAGATCCCCATAAACCATAAAAATGTGTATGCATCCAAATTAAATTTTCATGAGTAGAGTTACGCTTAGTTCTCATGACCAATTTAGTTGGTGGTTTTCACCGATATGCAATACTTAGTTTAAAAGCAAAATTGATTTCATTATAGTTTTGATAATTGACTACATAAAGAAGAAAAAAACTCCACTGCAAATTAACAGTGGTTGAAGGGTATTTGGCATTTAGAGAAAACCGACGATTGGCAAGAACTGTGCATCATTTCGTACACAGAGATATCTGCCGCTTATCTGTTGGTAACATTCAGTTCTCTGTGATCTTGTATGAATTCACCGTGAGGGCTTGCGTGTGATGATCACAAATAATGGAATTTGAAACACTGATAAATAATTTCGCGGTCCTGTATGGAGATTATTAATAGCGAGTATATATATAACAAAATGGAATAACGGCATGATTATTTAGGCCAAAATTTCATAATAACTTATGGACAATCAGTGCCGCTTGAAAACCTCCGGCCACCCATGTTTCAGATACGCATTGTTATACATCTAAAGCATTGATTATTGTCTTGAAATCACACCAAAGGTCAAAGTAATAAGTACGAATTGTACAGTAGGTGAGGAAATTTAATGTACAACATCACTTTCGAGAGTTTTTAGTGAATGAACAAAGAAATTTACGGCGTTCGTTCACCTACAAGTTGAGATAGTCGCATTATATCAAGTTTGAAATCACAACCGACAACAAAATCCTCGAAACCAAATACACAAAATGAACATCAACTCAGACTATCGGCATATCTAATCTCAAGCAGATGACGGAAGACAGAAGTAAGTCTCTGATCAAACGATATTTATTGCTGACCACAAGAACAAAAATCATACTGACAGGCAGCAGCACCTGAAATTTCAGTGACTAGGCTCTTCAATCCTTCCTGAAGTCTGGCCGGAGATCAACCTTAACCTAATAATAAGTAGGTGTGTTTCAACAGATGATAAACAGTGGCGATCCTTGTCAAAAATGATAAAAGTTTATCAATGATAATCCGTAGATAAATATTATTAAATGAGCAATGTTGCTTACTTCACAACAATGACGTCGAATAAAAAAAATCATCAGTGCCAACTGTGATGTAAATGTGCCCATTAAAACTGGAAATCAATGTGCAACGCTGAATTCTTATCCTTCCACAGCACTTGACATACTCAACTGTCAGTTCTTTAATCAAAATATCAGAGTTTTATGTGAAGCTCATTATGACAACTCCAGTTCAGATCTATCTATAGGCCAAGCTTTGAATGAAATAATTGACCATATACCGTCCGTGACAGCAACAAAATCATGGAAGGAATCATAATCAGTGTTGAGAACATCGAGTTAACAATAGTTTGTCGCCTAACTATTACTGAACGTTAAGTCATCAAGTAACGAAGAATAACAGTGCCTATATTTGTATTCACAAGCTATTATGGTCGCTCAGTATAAAACAGTGGCTGTAGTTAATTCCGAATGATATTCTTCAATAGTGAGATTTTATTGGAAATAAACATTCACAACGGACTCATTGTTGATTGCAACTATCATAAAATCACGCTTACACAGTACTACTAATTTGAAAACAAAATGTTGTCAAACTCTCGCGAAACAAGTCAGTTGTAGATGCAACAAGTAGTTGGAGTTTGACAACGTCTTAACCAGTAACATCTTCTATTATGAATCGTACCCACCAAGTGAAATCAAAAGTCGGAAGCGAGGAAGATCGAAGATATGTTTGATAGGCTATTAATATATCGAAGATCGTCTTATCTAATCTGGCTAGCGATTGTAGGGCTTGTTGAGCTTTTTATTTTGGGGATTTTTATAACGCTACACAGTTTCTATTCGATGAAGACAATTAGGCAAATAGTAAAAATCAAGTTTCTATATTTTGTCAACAAGATTACATAAATTGTTAAGTAAACAATCATAAGAATGTACATAATTCCATAAAGAAATTGTCCAAACTATTGAAATGAATAATGATGTGGAAAGTGTTCTAAAGAAGTACTACATGGAAACAATTTGGAATAATCAAACAAAGTTATAAGATATTTGTGAGAATCATGCTTTACTTCACTTTCTTTGATGTAGCCATCTCCAAATTATTGCACCAACACATACAACACAGAAAATGGTGACTAAAGGAATCACGATATACAAGTACCATAGTGATTTCTTCTCTACATTCTCTTCAGTAGTCGTGTTCTGAAGAAAAACAAAAAATTAGCATTTATTACTACATATCAAATATTTACCGAGTGTTGATCAGTTTCTTCAATGTGTTTGGTGGGTGTTTGTGTACTCAACTCGTTCACTTCTGGGTTATGCTTAATAAACAAAACAAAAGCATTGATTACCAAATGTCAATTAATTCAGTAATCATTATGCACAGTTGTCAGCACTGATAATAGAATAACATTCAACAAATAGTTACTCAATTTGCATTCATACAATCATTTAGAGCATGTACTACCGATTTAACACTCTGTATGCTCAGTACAAGCCATTCTGAAACCAATAGACGACTCAATTGTGTGATGAAATTTGTGTTCTGAATGTCGCATCTAATCACAATGCGAATAAAAGCAATAAACTTAAAATTGACTTTTTAATTAAAGTAGTGTATCTAAGTTACATATTACTCAGCAGAACGTCAGAAATCCTTGTTCGAAACTTCAACAATGGAGTCTACTTACACTCATTATCAAAATATGACACACAAGTCCCAACAGATTACGCTTCTTGAATCAAACTGGTTTCATCGGTATTTTGCGATAATCCACCTAGATATGCGGTTTCTAAAATAACCATCCCTTCAATGAGCTGAAATATCATTATTTTTTCTAGTAATATTGTAAAAGTACGGTACTCATTTGTGAATATTTGGCCTCAATGTATACAAATGTTTAATTGAGTCATTGAGGGTAGTATACCAGTTATTTTTCATTCGCAAAGAAAAAATGTTCCTTTGCGTGAATGGATGCACGCGAAATGTGTAATTTTTCAATATTGAAAACGACCTGTGAAGATTAAGAAGTACTAACCTTGACACGGCACTTAGTAACTTTCATGTTATGAGCATCCTTGTCAGTACTATCAATGCATAGCTTCGCATTATCACACCAAAAACAAGTTATATCCGATGTTGTTGCCTGTTGGCATGCTTCAGGTGAAGTGTATTTTGGACAATAGTCTGTGAAAAGAATGACATGATTTAATCTCAAGTGACCAAACAAAAGGTAAGTGAAATACAAAACATGTAACAATAACCCAATGATATAATGGTGATTTCGGCGTGAAGTGACAATTTCACCGACTGGAAAATTGTCACTACGATGCATAATGCAATATTCAGTGCGCCATCAATTTCAATCATGTTTCGTGACATCATTTTTGAATTGAATGAAACTATGTCGATAGTCAAGTATGAACGATGGATTACAATAACTGTTTACATTCAGACATGTATGCACGGAGCTGTCAGTGGACTCAGCAGGGCACATTACATTGAATTTTTCATTGTTGTACAGTTGCTTTAGATGATATCAGTTTTATGAATGCAGTTAGTTCAAGAAATTCAGTTGTTTCCAGACTTAATATCGAGTTTTAATTATGTTGATCCAGTCAAACGACAAACGAAGTCTGACATTGTTTTTATTATGATCAATGATGATATTCTTGAAGAGATTTCAGTCGACCTACTGTGATGGATAATATCAAAGTATGTAACTAAATTCTGTGCTTCGTGCTATCAGTTAATCTATGAAACTAGTTGGGCCAGTAAAGATTCATTGATGATGAACGGAGTATCTTATTCGAAGAATATTGACGGCAATCTGATTATTCCATCATGGAATAATGCCCTCACTACTAAAACTATTATTTCAGTAGACATAAACATGGTGAACTAATATCTGTTTATACTTACTCAATGTACATATTCATGAGAAGGTACACATTTTCATAATGTGGAAATAATTCTTAAACTGGCTATGATAAATTGTAATTTGGAAACGTGACTTATCCATACCTTCAATGTATCGTATATGTATGACGAAGCAAAGATTTCGGAAAATAGACAATCGTTTACGAAGCATTCGCATTTACGTGAAGTGTTTCTTTTTGCGAATTCACTACCTCAGTAAGATTTCATTTCACATGTACCAATAGAAAATACGGACACTTTCTCGTCAACGCGCAGTTAACTAACAGACACTTAATCTTGTTCAAAATTAACATCATCTCATATATCGTTTTGCTGCTTTGTGGTCAAGTCACTTTTTGATCAAAGTGGAGACTTCACTATTGATTCAAATTGGATTTTGAATCCTTTTCATCATTCAATAAAAGAATCGATGTGTAGTTCCTAATGATATGTGAAATGTCATTTAAGATAGACAGCTCGATATCATTTGGTAGTTAAATGAAATTATACATGGAATATTCAAATCGTTGAAGTAAAATGGATGTTTTCAAGTGTGAAGATCGTTATTACTGATTAAATAAGTTATAACATACCTCCAATGAATTCATATTCCACCATCGTGCCACTATTGATCCATGTTTCAGGAGTTATTATTTGAGGTGCTATTTGATCATGTGTGATATAGTGAACAAGAAAAGGCACTTAGAATTTTGAATTCGTTTATAAATACAACAGGTTATTTGCACCATTGAAGTCGTGGTATTAAAGTATATCAAAATTGTTCAATGTCAAAGCAGTACCATTCGTTTAATTCTGTTTCATATAAAGCATGCCTTATTTTGAATGGAAGCTGAGGACTAAATCCGTGACTTGTGTACTGTAAGTTAAAGAATAAATGAGTGTAAATATCATTTCTTTAATCTCGTCATTGGCAAGTCCCCATCCAAATGCGTCAATCGGTAACCATAAGACTGAGCCGCATCAAAATAGCCATCCACACTTTAGGGATAAATACATTCATTCACCTTGGTTGCTTTACTCAAAATATCTGGTTAAGAGTGTATAAGCATATGTGGACGGTGAAATCTATTATCGGTGAAATTTATCACAGAAAGCTGAAACAACACCATAACGATCTCACTTTGAATCATTTGTGTGTCATCATCAAGTATGATAGTTGTTGATTTGAATAAATATTAACTTGGATTTCAATTCATTATATAATAGTGGTCCCATATTCGAAAGCCCTAGTCGCAAATATCAAACACTATGACTGACCGTCACGATCAGTGTGACACTCCAATTTTCCTACAAGGAGTGTGAACATTGATCTAACGTTGAATGTTCACAATTCAATAACATTTGAAAAGTGCTTTTACAAGACGCATATCAATTTCATTTTGCACAATTATCCACAACACTTCAATGACATTTATATCAGTTGATTTTACAAGCCAATCAAATCTTAAACGCAAACTGTAACGAGACTAAACTAGATCACTGTGATGGAATAAAGGAATGTTCTGTGTTGACATGCTGATAACCAGGGTAAAAACAGAAAATAATATAACATAAACAGATAACTGATGATACGAGTACCCTGAAATCAATGTGATGACAACATTTATTGAAATGTTTCGTACTTGTTTCACATCCGATTTTCGGTGTCCATTCAATTTCTTTTATTTTCGGTGAAATCTGAAAGAAAATGTTGATAGTTTGAGTCAAGATCTCTCAACACACAAACTCCAAGATGAAAGTGAGGTGATTTATTTTCTAATTATTCATTGTTTTTAACAAGTGCTTGAATAAGTTGTGTCATCGAAGGTTGAATAATAGTGTCAAATATTCTGTTTGCACTTTACAGAATGTTGCTACATTACTTTCGTGTTCAATGTGACTAGATATACTTGACAGTATTCATAAACATGAAATAGTTGAGTAATCTGAAGTACTTGAAATAAAACTACATTTGCATTCAATTGTTCAACTTACTTTATCATAATAGAAAACTATCTTCCCATTCGGATGTATTAGGCAAGTTACCTTGGCTGTAAACTCTACAATTAGAAAACCATCGATATTTAGAACATTCGAGAAAACAATGACCAGTTTATCGGCAGATGTGGCATAGTATATATCAGCTCATAAAGTGACCATGTTTCAGTGAATAGTTACTGTGTTATGTCAAATATTTTCCTCAGTTGACTTCACGGTAAATAATTCCATGTGCACGTCATGGGAATGAGAGAAGCATACAGCCTTCTCAACGAATATCAAATGCCTAATTTTGTATTACTACTGTATTATTACTGAAACACCAATTCGGTAATCGTTCCATTAAGATCCGATGGTCAATGAAGTATTCATATGTATGCGGTATACATTCTCGAATGCCTGATAAAACAATCGAGACTGAGTACACATGACATAAGGTTTGTATTGTTTGCTTACAAATTGAACTTGGAGATTTAATTGGTTACATGGTTACGTGATATCTCAATCGATCAACTGAATACAACCATAGTGTTCATTTGTTGTGGATTAGAAACGAATAGCCTTACATAGATGGTGTTACGGATATTTTTTTAATATTTGGGTGGATAATATTTAGGAATGACTATGAGATTAATGGATGGGTAGATGAATGTGTTGTGTACAGAACTGACATTGTGACAAACAAACAACACGATTCATTTATTTTCAAACTGAAACTGTTCAACAAATTCAATTCAAGCCTGTAAACGTCAACGAATCTGTGAATTCGTTTTCCCACAAATGAAATAAGATTGTGACCTGATTTATCCACCATAGTGATCTTTATTTTACTCATCAACCTTAGTGACTTCCAGATCACATCAACTATTCTTCAAATCTTATTCGGCGCCATCAAGCGACCCTCATTTCTCTGAAAAGTGGCAAATATCTACATTTTCAGTTTCTGAGACAAATTGAATTTGACAAACAGTGAATAATCATATGGAATGAAGATGTCAGTGTTTAGATTCCACATGTGTTGACTTACGTTTACCATCAACTTCTTTATTCGTAAACCATCTGACAGCAAATAATTCCTCTGAAATAATGAAAATAGTATTGGATGTTTAAATATCTGCATAATGAATATCTATTGCTTTCAATAAATGAAAGTTTAAACATGGACTACATTTGCATGCAAGTTATGATCTTCATTCTGAGATTTATTGAACCGATGTAGTCAAATACTCAAGTACCTCTCATGTGGAAAGTTCAAGAAATATTATCACCTACATCCGTATGATGTCTCAATTCATCCAACTAAGAAGTATAGTTTACTTCCGTAGCATCTGTTCTAGGAGATTTAGACTGTGGTACATACTAATAATATCTAACTGACAATACCCATATAATAACATTATCTGAGATGTCGGTTATTTATCAATTCTGATAACTGACCAAAAACGGATGTTTTCAACCTTGATGTTCCAAGTGTTCTAGTTTGAGTTAACCATCTTATGATAGCAGAATATTATTATTCTTTCATTGCTCAGCCGTTTCATGAAGTGCCTGTATTGAAATTTGATAAAAGTACGAATGTGACTGCAAAGATCGAGTCCAAAACTCGATGGTAAACAAACAGCAACTCAAAGACATTAAACTTGTATGAAGGAAGTGCAGGAAAAGCATTGGAAGACATGAAATATGATTTGATAGTTGTTCAAAATTAATTCTCTCACAACATCGCTTATTCTTGCACATGTGATAAGTCCGGTTAGTTTAGTCTACAAAGACGTATCGTGTCGATGTCGATATCTACTATCTTGTAGTCTTGATAGACTGTAGAGTTTGATAATTAGCACTCGTATAATAACATCACTTGTTTTGTCATTTCTACTCTTCCAATGTGTTTGTATGTTGAGGTGAATCTCTGTTTTGTTTAATATTTTCACATGATAGTAATCAAAAGGTGTTGTGAAACACACATGTTCTGGTACGACAATCAAACAAACAAAACAATCATTGTGTGTTGATAAGCTCTTGTGTAATACTCAAGTAAAATAGAGAATGATGCATGCAATGTAAGTGTGTAAATAAGTAACGAAGCAAATTATAAGTGAATCATACAAGAACTCACTCTCATTCGAAAACTGAAATTCAGAGTATATCTTGCTTGTTACATAAGCTTCTATATATCCGATGTAGTGTTCTGCGTTTAAACCTATGCCACCTGTATTTATTTATTGAAAAAATGAAACACGATTGATGATTTTACATTGAATTAAATAAACTGATGATTTAAATGAATTGCATGAACTGCATCTGGATTGCTATAGGGCGTCACATTCTCAACACAATTTGAACACGAAAGGATATCCAAATAATGTTTGCATGTTTCAATTAGTATGAAACTAATTCAATAAAGAAATGGAATCAACT